CAATGCATTTTACAATACCTTTACAACATACACCATACACCATTTGCTGTCACATGGTTTGGAAATCACATTACAGATAATAATTCTACAACTGTGAGGTTTCACCTGTCGTCATTTGATACCCGAAGGAACACTTTTTTTAGGGGCTAAATCTAATTTTTTCACAAGGCAAAATAACTATATGCCTTCCCCTCTTTGTAGTCTCTCATTATTTTTCCCTCTAGTGATGGAGGGTCCTTATCCAGTAGGTACATACAAACATAGTAGGCCAGTTCTGCATACCTACCCCCCACCCCCCCCCCCCCCAATCCATCCATTGTCCAGTTCCTCAGTGTCTACCTCGGATGGCTGAACAGCTACCGCGTCAAGGCAGAGAAATAATGACTACCGGTACTCGATTTCCAAGCTTGAGTCCCCTCCTTGTAGAAAGTCATGTAACACTTCTGTTGTCCATTGTGAAATGAGCTCTCTCGTAACATCTACATGCACGTTATCTTCTGTTTCATCGGCCGTGTTCGATGATGCTGCAACTGATAAATATAAGGGAAAAGACAATCATATTAAGTTCGTGACCACAAGAATGATTGTAACAAAAGAATCCTTATCACTTCTTCAACACGTAGATGCTCAAGTTGAGCTCATCGATATCAGAATTTATATCCAGATCCAGATCGACAAATTTTACACTTAATTGCAATCACTATCTAAATGTCAGCCATTCTAGTAGACCCTATTCCATATTCAATTATAGGATCTAGAAAGTCTATTAATATTTCATGAGACATAAATCTCATATTACTGTACATTTCTACCTAAAACACGAGACGAGTGTACTTAAGCAGCTTAAAAGACAATCAGTCTACTTAAAATGCACACACATTTGAACATACGGGACTAGATCTAGGCCTATGATTTACTAAAGTTGGATCTCGGCCCACTCTCATTACGTCGTATTATCAGCTTTATTAGTCATAAAAATGAATAACCACAAACTTTGGTTTTCTTACCGTACAAATGATACTGGATTGGAAGAAAATCACTGCAGAATAGCGGACTATGTACAAGATTATGATGTTGATTCGATACGAATCCCGTTGTTTGCAACAGGACAGCTGATCACGGCGAAGGTGAAAATGGACTAGAATTATGTCCCGGCATGCTTTGCGATGAAACAACCGTGAAGGCACGTATTGCTTTCAAGTGAATTTGGCGCCTTACAAATCCTATTTAGCTATGTATTGTTTTACATGTCTAATCATATTTTCAATCTATTTATTGACAGATCCCATGTTTGTTTTGTTTTTCCTTCTTTTTCTTTCCGTCTCCTCAGCAAAATGATGATGATCATCGTGATCATCTGCAAATCAAGCCCACTATAAAGTCACATAAGAATACATTCGGAGAGGAAATATGACAAACAGAAATTGTCTCCTTCTCTTTCACCCCCCCCCCCCCCTTCTGAGAAAAAATAAAATAAATGAAAAGAGAGAGAGAGAGAGAGAGAGAGAGAGGAGGGGGAGATAAAGGGTGACAGACAGAGAATAATGGGAATTGTGTAACCGGAGAATCTCTTAACTCTTAATTTCCCCCTTTCTGAGAAAAAGAGAGAGAGAGAGAGAAAACGAACATGATTAAATCATATAATTATATATATATATATATATATGGGGAGGGGGTGACAAAAATGGAAAAAGAAAGAGGAGTGTGTAACCACTGCAGTGCTACGAAAATACATGTACTATCTCATTCAATGCCCTTCGCTATATAGTCATCTTTCCTTTGCTCATGAATAATTAATATAATTCGTTCCAATAATGCACGTCCGTATACATGCATTCCATGCACTGGAATACTAGTATACGAATCTCGAGAAGTAGGTAGGGCCATCGGATCGCATTTTCTGTCTGCTGCCCTCTACAATTTGAAACCTTATAGAGATAAATCCGCACACCAAAATGTATGTCGTTCCTTCTTTTTTGTATATGTTTTGTTTATTTATTGTTTATTTATTGTTTATTTGACTGTTTCTTTCTTTCTTTCTTTCTTTCTACCTTCCTCAATTTCCTTCTTTCTTCCTTTCCTTTCTTTCTGTGTGTGCATCTGTGTTCTTTCATACTTGTTGTACCATTTGAAAATGTCTCATCAAACCGATTTTCTGTTTGAAACTGCGATTTCCTGACCCTTGTAAATGTGAAAAGGTCGGCGACGATTTAAAAAAAAGAGAGAGAAAGAGAGAGCATGAGAGAAAGAGAGAGAGAGAGCGAAAGAGAGAGGGGCGTCATCTGTTGAATGTGAGCGTCATGACAGTTACATATTATCGCACTCGAACATGATTTCTATAGATGCAGGACCATAATTCAGTTGAGTTGATTTCTTGAAAGTCTTTGAGATCGCGAGAGTTTGAAGCGTTGAAAGCTCAAAACAGATGTCGAACCAACCAATTAATATTTTGTCATCCACAAAATGAATTAAAGGTGCTATATGTCCCATTTGCAGGCCAACAAATAAAAAGATTAAATTCAAACGGCATTTGAAAGACAATACTAATTTAGAACTTCCCTCAAAAGAAAAGGGCTTTAAAATGTCTTTAAGTTGGAAAATAACGTCCATTAGTTATCGACTCGACTTTAGTGATTGCAATCACTAAAGTAATAGTCTGTTTTTCAGACCCTTATACCGAATGGTCGTACGTTTTGTGCTGCGCAAAGATTCAATCAGTTTGATGTTTGCCATTAGTAGAATTGGGTTATTAATGTAAACAAATGCTCGTGTACTCTGTACAGCTCATTTTATGTATGCTATTACCAAAGAAGAAAAAAGTCAGTCAGTCACTCACTAGTGTCTGACAGTGAAATCTAGAAAGTAAACGGGTTTCCTTGCATAATTTATATAACAGTATGTGAATATTTATGTGAAGGTAGTGTAATCTATTTATCATGATAAATAACTGCATCCATGTTTGTTGTGTTCCCCTACTCTTCTCCCCCTCCCTCTCTCTTTCCCCTCTATACCACCCTCCTTCTTTAACTCTTTCCCTTCATCATTATATCTCTACCCTCTCTGTCCATGTTACGACAGCTTCTGTTTCCTTGTATTCCTACATCCCAGTTGCAGTTTCCTCACCCCCACCCCCCCCCCCTCTCTCTCTCTCTCTCTCTCTCTCTCTTCCTTTTTTTTCTCTCTCTCTTTCCCATTTCTTTTCTGTTTCATCCATCCCGATTGTACATTGTATCAATGAATAATAGTTTGATTGTAATGTTACCACGTTTTACCCTATGCATTTTATCAATTATCACTGTGTTATTGTACATTTTCGCTATTCGGCTTTGCCGCAATGAAAGTATTTTAATAAACCATTTTGAATTGAATTGAATTGAACTGAATTTGAATATTGGGATACTGCTAATGTTTAAAAATCACGGATAGGACATCCATGACATGTTCATAATTCCAATGGCATTTGAAATGGCATTTGACAGAATTTGATGTTGGCTTCAAATAATGGTATATAGTACCTTTAAAATCCGACTTACGGAATTTTCTTATAGGATAATTGGAAGAACAAAATGAAACTTTGTCAAGAATTTTAACTTTTGAACAATAAATGTTTCTTGCTTGTTCATCAGTCACAAGCTTGGGCGGGAATGGACATGAATAAATTCAAATGCAATTATAAATTCTTTATAGCACCAACAACTTGCAAAACTCTTAGATATCATTATGGCCACCGTTGGTTAATTGGTGGAACGGTTGGTTGGAGCAACATGTAAGAAGAAGAAGAAGAACAAACAAATATTTGTTTAATTTTTTTATTGCTGAATAATTTCAGTATAGGGTGGCCTGGATATTCATAAATGGGTTCTATATGTTTTGTATATTGAGACAACTTTAGATGTTACAAACGTTGAATGTGCTAAAGCGAAAAGTTACTATAATTTAATGCTAGAAAAGAAAAAAGAGAAAGTTGGTTTCCATTTTTGGCAAAATATTTTAGGCCTACCAGAAACATTTGTTTAGGAAGATATATTTCAGTTTGAATTTAATAGATAAGGGACAATAATATCAAACAATATAATTTCAAATTAATTCATAGGATATTGCCCTTTAAAGACAATCTCTTTACATGGAAAATCGTACAGTCTAACGAATGTGAAATTTGTCGTGAAAAAGAATCTGATGATCACTTTATATTTCGTTGCAAGAAATAAAGAGTTTTCTGGAAAATTATCTCAAGAATTTTATAATTCATCTATAAAATAGAAATAGAAATTGATATGAAAATGTTATTGAGTGGATAAAGATCTCTAAAATAAATAACAGAAAATTTACTTTACTTAATTTCTTGATAAATTATGCACAACTGGTAATATACAAAGATTACATAAAGCGGAACTTTGGGTAAGTACCAACCAATCCAAAGAGGTTAATACATAATTTTGTTTCATCATTGAAATGTTATTTGAAATACAAAGAAAATATAAGATACTTCGATAATGAAGAAGTTAAGAAAGTAATAGAAATGTTATAATGATCATTTTAAGAAATTATGTTGATCTTGTATATAATTCATATGTTTCATTTTACTTGTTTTGTAAATAGTCTATATGTATTTTGAAATGGAATATTAAAGTCCCTCTGAAGAGGTAAGAGAAAAAAATAAAAATAAATTAATGGGTTCTATGACGCATCCATGATAATGCAATGAAAATATTTGGATGCGTCATAGAGCCCATTTCTGAAAGGTTAATCGTTGCCAGTCTACAACTAGGGACAATCTCCAATGCGCAACCTATAAATTGTACATTAACATGTCTAAAACGTTTACAAATTATTATTAAATATTTTTTATGTAATCTTTTAAAAATTAATTTATTAAATTTGATCTTATCATATTCGTACTAACAATTTATTATATAAATACGTCTTAGCTGGGCTGCTGAAAGCCGTAGCCATTTGATCTGCAAGTTGGCAACTATTTTGGCTAGCAACGGAACGCCGAAATAAGTCTGCTAATATTATTTGTAAACATTACGAATCTCGAGTTAAAAATATATTAAAATGACGCTAAATCCATTATCAAATCCAAAAGGTGTTAAGCTGTTATGTGAACTTTGCCAGAAACCAGCTTTTGTACAATGTACAAGATGCAGAGTAACGTATTACTGGTGAGTACTAAGTAAATGTTAAGTAAACACTGCTGTACTTTCGCATTTTCATCTCACTTATGTCCCACACGTTGTATTTCGTGTAAGCCCCTGGGCCAGTTATATGTTATTCCGCAATTCCGTAGATAGAGGACCACAGACTATCATCATGTAATGATGTATTATTTAATTTGACACGAATATGAATAGACATAAAGTCTAAGTAGATCTAAGTAAACTTAGGTATTTCATATATTTTGGTGCATGTTTACCTGATTTGTTTGATGTTCCACTGTTCTGTTTCTCATATTAATATTTCTTTTCTTTTTTCTCATCTTCATGATCTTCTGACTTAGAGTTAGACTATTAATATTCTTAGACTAGACTCTAGACCTATATTGAATTTTATTCTTAAAAAAAAAAATAATAAAACCAAATTAACGATAATATTAACAAGCATTAGATCTAGATCTAGTCGTTAGGCCTAGATCTACTCATTGATTGAGTCGTTAATGTCTTGTTTAATTTTGTTATTGTGTGAGTTCTAGATCTAAATATCATCACTCAGGATGGACTTTCTGCTTTGTGACAGATAATCAGCTTATCAATCCCAATGACGATGCATTATCATGATTGACATCGTTATGCTAATTCTGTAATCACCCTCCGACCCTCGGCCATATTATTGCATTAACTTTTGTTCTCCTCTTTGCACAATGTTAAAAAAATAGATCTAGACTCACAGTAGTACGGTAAACCGTTTCAGAAAGTAACAGCCTCTTTTCACTCTCTAGTCTAGTGACTCGCTCCTTTATTATGGAACTCTAGCCAGAGGCCCAGACTGCATTTTTAAGGTCATATTATACTATTATGACCTTAAAAATGACAAGTTTGCGAATGAAAAATTTGGTGCAATTTAGTTAGGCTCTGTTTTGCTTTGTACTTGCATGGATCTATATTTTCTTGTTTTCTCAATGAAAATTATTTTTAAAATACAAATTCAAATTATTGATATTGAAATATTTTGCAATTACCTTCACAGTGGAGTGGAGCACCAGCAAGCGGACTGGCTAGGGATCCATGAGAAGATCTGTCAGCTTCTTATCCCTCTCAGAACCACCCAGGTATCTTTCCTCTCCTCAGAGGAGCAACGCAGGAAACAGGAAGCCGAGATGCTCGAGAGAAGGGTAAGATCTCACCACTGGTACTCCACTTATCTGGACCCTGTTGCATAAAACTTACCATTGGTAGTAACTTTGCCATCAATGGCAACTACCATGGTAACAGGGTTCAACAGCCAATCAAAATCAAGGTTTCCATGGTAATTACCATTGATGGCAAAGTTACCATCAAAATGGTAAGTTTTGTGCAACGGGCCCAGATCAATATTTGGTGATTCCGTGAAATATGTTTATCCTGACGTTGTGTGTCCAGACAGGTTGTGTATCAAGTTGATGTAAGAAAGAAATTTGAGGAAGTTTATGTGCAAAAAGGGATAATTTAAGGGATTTCAAAGGGGAAGCTGCGACTCACATAAGACAATTACGCAAAAAAGAGGGTAATTTTGAGAGTCTATAATACTTGATATGCCAAAAGCAGGATTATATTAATAACAATAATAATACTCCGCTTTTGTATAGCGCGAATTACAATTAAGTCTCTAAGCGCTAATATTTTATGGCTATTTTCACATTTTGTACTTGCTTTTTTAGGCCAAAAGGGTTATAGTCTGTGAAACATGTTCTTGAAAGTCTGCAGATAGGAGATCATTTTTTACTCCACTAACGATCAGACACCGATCTTCACTCTACATGTTTATCAGTAAGATGATATGACCTACAGACATTGCCATATTACTGTCAATCTGAATTTTCTTTCAATTTCTCCAGGAACACATGATAGAACTGACCAGAACAACGGGCCAGAAGTTACTCTTTGAAGGCAAGCACGAGCAGGCGGTCCCTGCGGCTATGCAGTCTCTCAGGTTCAGCATCGATGTACACGGGCTGGATAGCATCGAATTGGTTCCTTCGTATCTCATTCTGGCTGAAGCAAGCATTGGTACGACCCGTTCATTCGACAGTGATCTTACTTTTTCTTCACCAGGGGGGTGTTTCACAAAGACTGAGATCAACTTTAAGTTGGACTTTACTATGGCAGGCTGTTCATGCCGCTGTTTGCTATCACCTTCTACTGGCATTGGTCTATCAAGGACATACAAATCATGGTCACAAATCTACAGAATTTACATTTTTTTGATAATTCATTATTAAAGGAAAAATTATCATCTAAAGATCACAATGGTGAGAGCTAACAGTAGCATGAACTTAAAGAGGATATTAGTCTTTGTGAAACACTTCCCAGCATTATATATGTCTCCATTTTATACTACCATATTATTCTCTCATGCACAAGCATTGTATCATAGTATGACAAACAACATCTAGTTTGGCTCCACTCTTTCCTGGAATTTGGTAATCTACCCATCTCAAATTTTATTTTTTTATTTTCTTTTTTTCTTTTTTTCCCTTCCATCAATCAAAGTCTACAATTTTCTCTGTCATGTGTAATTGAGCTAGTTTAGCTCCACTCTTTTCCTGGAATTTGGTAATCTACCCATCTCAATTTTTTTTTTCTTCTATCAATCGGAGTCTACAATTTTCTCTGTCATGTGTAATTGAAATTAGGCATTTATCATCCATTCTGAAATTTGTTTTTCGCTGGTAAGAGTTTACAGATCATTTTAAGAAAAAGAAAGGATCATAATCATAGACAATTATGGTAATGGTAAAATACAGTCATAACAGCTTTAGTTTTGGATGAAGAAGATGCCAACAGAGCAAAGAGTAGAAGAGGAAGTTGTTCTGAATTTTGAAAGTTTCACTACTAATTTCATGTTGCATGATGCAGGGCTTCACAAGCTCCAGCAAGCCGAGGAATACCTTGCCCAAGCTCAGTGGACGGTGGTGAAGACGCCCGATGCCAGTCATGCCATGAAGTCCAAACTCTACCGCAACTGGGGACTGCTCTACGCAGCAGAAGGCAACTACGAAGAAGCGCTCAGGAACCTGGCTGACGATGTAAGTTCAATGCTGCATTTACTGAGAGTATGCCTGGGGTCTGTTTCACAAAGATCCTTAGTCAAACTTAACTTTAAGTTGGACTTAAACATTATGGAGAGCCATTAGGAAAAAATCAAGTGTTTCAGACTTTTCATGAAATCTCCTTGATACAAACAGAAAATATGAATGATTTTAATTACCGGTATCATTTTATTGCTTTTAATATACCGGTAACTTTTACAAATAATTTTCAAAGATGCTAACGGCTTTCCATAATTGTTAAGTCCATCTTAAAGATAAGTTCAACTTAGGATCTTTGTGAAACACCCCCCTGGTGTGATAGGGATGGTTTATTGTCGTTTGGTCTATATATACAACTGGTTCGCCTACTACCCGAATGGTCTATATTCCCATATCGTCTACACCTAGCTTACATGGTCTCATAATAATTTTGTCTACTTATCATTTGGTCTAATAACTATCTAGGCTAATAGTCATTTGGTCTAATTTCCATTCGGTCGAAAGTCTACTACCCATTCGGTGTAATAATCATTTAGTCATGAACAATGAAAATCATCAAGACCTTATGGATAGTACTAGTAGACCAAACAGGCTGGATATAACTGGGAATGAGACTACCAATTTGTCATTAATCTTAATGAACAATAAATAAAATGAGTTAGAGACTTATTGGAGATTAATAAGACCAGACAGCAATTCACTGTAGAGATCGGGACCCACAACTTTTAATTGAGGTCATCAATTTACTGATATCGCCAGAAACAAAGAAACATCCAAATAATTCCAGATGTGATATTTGCGTATACACATATATAATCAAAAAGAAATTATTTAAAGCACCAATCAGAATTGTTAATTCTGTGCAATTCCAGTTTGTTATGACAATTTACATTATTTACCCTAACATGGAAGAAAAAAACATTGTTTTCAGAATACCGCCCCTGGTTCATGTTTATTTTGTGAATATATGTGCAGTTAACAAATGGCCATGCATGAGTGGATGAATTAATTGTTTAAGGATACAATTTGTATTAAAAAAAATAGAATTAATGCTAATATTGTGATTACCCTGAGTTTATTCCTATGAATGTGGGAAAAATATGAGAAATATACAGGATATTTATTGGCACAGTGAAACCAACCAAACAGGAAGCTTCCGTCCATATGTGCAGGTCTTAAACATTAGTATCTACAAGAAAATTGATGAATTCTTACTAGTTTTCTTTATTCCTTAGAGCAATCTTAATTCTAGCATGCTGAGAAACGTGTTGTTCTGTAGACCATGCATTACCGTAACCACTACACATTCTGTCTTTGACTTCGTCTGACAGAAGAAAAACTGCATAAATATAGAGACTCATTACAAGAGCCTTGTATATGGCAAAATGTAGGTTATCCACTCAAGTATGATTAAGAGGAGTGTGTGTAGATGTTCAGCACAAAGGCCTTTGTGTGGAAACCATGTTCAAAGGGACAGATTAGCATGGGGATGCTCTCGCATTTGAATAGAACAAAGAAGGTTCTCTTTCATTACTACCCATTTAGTAGTGCATGCACTTAATAAGGGATTAAGACTCATTAGCTATAGAAGCTACATGGGACGAAACAGTAATGATGGTGATTGCAATTAACAATGGTTAATTACAGACACATATAGCATGTTCATGAGGTTTCAACTTAGTTTAAGTGTCTGCTAAAATAGCCCATCAAGTTCCTTAAAACATACATGTATATTCCTGGATCACCATGCTTAATTCAACTCCAAACTACCAAAGATTCCCATGTTTTTATTCCTTTCATAATTTTTTTTAAAGGGTTAGCAGAGATGAAAAAGGGGTCTATGATTTTCTGGTGACAATTGCTTTGTCGTCAAAATCCTCCACCAAACCAGTTCCTAACTTAAACCCTGAACCAAACACTATATACGCTAACACTGACTTTAACCTTTAACCATATAGTCCTGTCCTAAAACCCAATGACATCCCGTGCATTCACCCTGTATCATTGACAAAATGACGCAATTACAAGTTGCTAGAGCAAATGTTTAATAACAAAAAATACACAAAGAGGTACAAACGATGATTCAACCCAGACCATGCACGGGGGGGGGGGGGGGGGGGGGTTCAGGGGTCAAACCCCCGACTTATTCACCGGCTGGCCGAGTTGTTAAGGAATTTTTGGCGTGATTTTCAAATTTTAAACCCCCCCCCCCCTCGGAAAAATCTTGCGTACGCCCCTGATTCAACCAAACACAAATTGGTAACTCTGTGACATGGTCTTGCCAAGGTCCCCTCCCATTTGCTCTGTACTAAAAATAAAAAAGGGAAATTTTTATTTTCCCTCAAGAAAATTTTCATTCAAACATCCACCCTGAATATATATTATTGCAATTACTATTTCTGTTCAACCCCTGTATTAAAAAATCTATTCCGTCATTAATAACAAAGAAAATAAAAGTTTATGAAATACCAATGATAATACGATTAATTCATAACTTCTCTCGTCACAGATCTTCAATGCTTCAGAGCAGTACGGCACGGACAACATCGGAACCTCGGGCGGCTACTTTCACATGGCCAACGTCTTCTTCCGTCAGAATCACATGGACATTGCAGACTCCCTCTATGGGCGGGTAACGGACATCTGGCACACCCATCTGTTGAGACTGGTGAGGGCGCGCACCCATCGGGCGGAAACGCCAGCAGGGGTAGGAGCCGTGGCGGTGGAACTGAAGAAAGCTAAACCAGAGTCATTAGGTAAGACCCTCTTTGGTACTTGGTAGGATTGGGATCAGGTTGGTAAAAATGGCATTTTGGACTTTGGGGGTGGGGGGGGGGGGGTTGGGGGGTAAAATAAATTAAATAATGATAAAAAAGGCTTTTGTTGGAAGCCATGGGTGACTTGATAAAATCATAAAGTGTAGGGATGAAAAAATGAGTGTCTGCAAAATCTAATTCGTTTTCCACCCATCCCACATTTCTAGCCTTTATTGAGGTTATTTGTCATGAATCTTTGGGGCATATATTATGAAATTGCAAAGGTTTGTCATGTCATTAAGTTGTTGAACATAAAAATCCCAGTTGTGATTAAATTGATTAGAATTCATGAAATTGTATGACATCATTATGCAATCTTTCCATTAGTGATATTCCGAAACTGTTTAATCATTTATATTCAATGTACATTTAATTAATTGAAGGAATTTTGAATATCGGTCAAAAGTAGATTGTAACCTTTCATTGCCACTTTGGTGCGGATATCTGCATTATCAGTCACCTGTGCATGGTCACTTACTGATGGGATGTAAATTTTTTAATTATTTTTTTATACCAGTGAATTTATCTGTCACTACAGATAGGCATGAAACAATTTCCAGAAAACCAACCATATATGTAAATGTATAGTTTGTACTCACTTTAATGTTTTCATTATTTTCTTTGAATGTTTTCATTATTCTTTTTGAACGTTAGTATTATTCTCTTTGAGCGTTTTTTAAATTCTCTTTTAACATATTTGTTATTCTCTTTAACATTTTTTTTAATTCTCTTTTAACGTTTTTATTACTCTCTGTTTGAATCTTGTCTATATCTATAGATGAAGCGCAAGAAGCGGAAGCCAATCAAGTCTTACATTCCATCCATGACATCCGAGAGCAAAGCAATCCTCAAGATCCGGTTACCATGGCGCTGGTCTGCCACGCCCTTGGGATGCTGTACTTCTTACTGGAAGAATACTCAAGGGTGAGTATGGGGAAATCCCCTTATAATAGTAGTAATAATGATATACTAATGTCAAGGGTTCTGATGGGGCAGTTTAATAAAACTATTGCCCAATGTAATCTTGAACCAGGTCAAGGGGAAATAGTGCAGTCTTGAAATCACTGAGGAGCTATAATTTTTCCCGTGACCCAGAAAATAAACAGTCACTATTTCTTTTATGAATGCATCCCCATGTCAATTCTCAAAAAGAGACATTTTAACAAAATATGCTTTAAAAATATATTTATTTGTAGACTCTAGGAAAATTTACTCATCTAAGAGCATTACACACTTCACTCTATGTCTATCCATTGTTAACTTCAAGCGCAACCACTACGTCCTTGCATTGTACGCGAAAGCAGAAAATGACTAAGACTAATCTTAGAATCTTTATATGGTATATAAAATGATTATTATTATTAAAGTCGAAATGCTATATCAAGAGACACTGCAGTAGAGTATATTCATATAGTAGCTGCGCTAATTGATCTAATTATTATTATTATGATTATCAAAATAAAAAGAGCGGGCACTGCATCAATAATGTAATTGAGTCTAAGTAGTCTAAGAGACCAAGTAAAGTAATGTTTTACTCTTTGACCGACGGGACAGTTCTTCATGCTTCTACGAACCGAAGGACTTTCAAACAATTCATATTCCTTTCTATTTTGCTATCTTTCACAGGCAAGAGACCTCACAGAAAAATGTCAGGCGCTGATGGAGTCGTCCGGTGAAGAGGATTCAGAGCTGATGGGTCACGTGGCAAACTTCAGTCAGGCCTTGCGTGAATTACCTAACCAAAAGGAGCAAGGCTTCCTTGCTGGTGGCTACTAAAACATCTTGACCTATTCTATTCCGACCTTGAAATGATGTTGGTGGGGTGATAAATTCTTGTAACTCCATTTCTGACATTTTTGTGACCAATAATCTTCAAGCTTGATGTCTTGATGTAGTGTACGGTCATTCCATAAAGTTGGGGCAAAAAATATGACGGTGTCCATGTAACCTAGGTATGAGATCTTCTACTACACATAGAAGATGAAATTTCTGTTGAAGATTTGTATGCAATGAATATATATATATAGTAGTGCCCTGCCAGAATCGTTCCTGTTTCAATTGCTTTTCTTCAAAATCTTTGCTTTAATACACATCTCTTCTTACCAGCGTTACATGGACACCATATTCATATAATATTACATAAACTTTGGGTCCATAATATTGATTAACCATGAAGATTGAGTACTTCTGAAGATAGTTGGCTATGCTTTTTATGAAAAAAATCAATTTGAGCAAACATTGTTACAGTTGATAGGAGATATAGTTTCTCACTTCTGGTATTAGTAGAGGCTACTATGAAATCCCGTGAGATAATCGTGCCAAAATTGATTTTTTGGGCTAACTTTGTCAATTTCGGGGTGCTGAATCTAAAAAATTTTGGTACCATTTTTTTCGACCACGTCTTGGGCAGCCATTTTGAATTTCAAAATGGCCACCATAAATAGTTGCATTTTGAGCATTATTTCATATTATAGACATCATAGAAGGTTCAAATTTCGGATAAAAAGCATGGCATTGATGTCTGATATAGTAATACAAATTTCCATGAAATTGTGCTTTGTTCCGGATAAGCCGCCATTTTGAATTTCAAAATGGCCGCCATTGTTAAGCCTATTTCAACTTGAATATCAAGTTAGAAGTGCACGGAAAGGTTAAAACTTGTTATAGTATCATCATTATGATGATATACATGCTTTAAAAGGAAATACATGCTTCGTTTAATGATGACCATTCTAATTAGCCGCCATCTTGAAATTCAAAATGGCCGCCATAATATGGTATTTCAGATTTGTAACACATATTGGGTATTGGAGCGCTTAAAATGCGAAATCAATCATTTTGGAAGGCATGTGATTCTAGAATCAATCACGGCAGTCAACTCCTGCTTTATATTGCGATATGTTGAATTGAATAATGACATATAATAATGCATGGCATAACCTGAGACTGATAAATCATGCGATTGTGATTTCAAAGACCAAATGTCTACCAAATGTACCTCCTTACAACTGTGTCTAAAATGACAACTAATCTTATGGATGTGAGTTTAGTTGCGACGTTGAAACAACAATTTCTTATAATCTACAATTTTATATTCACCTAGTCAACATCGGGGCTATTCACATCATAGTCCTGTGTATTTTCACAGTCACAACACTTGCATAGGGCTGTGCAAGGCAGATGGTTCTTCTTGCAAGAGCAATGGCTTTTGCATTCCTTCCGACATGAGCATTTGACCAATTCCATGACTGCCTTCGGCGCATGAAGCTCTAAACACTTGGTTGCACTGAATGTTCCTTCTGGGGAAAGCTCCCATCCATTTCCATCTAGAGGGGGCAGCTTTGGTTTTGGAAATTTGTATCCCTAATTGTTGACTCTGGCTACGAAGTTTGCCCTCTGGATGTGTGGTGTCAAGGATCCAAGGGTTGGTGGGAGCTTTTCTGCCTCAAGATTTTTTGCCCTGAATAACTCCCATCTAAGGTCACTCACTTTTGTGGCTTTGCTGTTTCTAGCATACACCTTGCAGACAAAGTCTTCCAAGACTGATAACACACTTTCCTGGTTGAAGTCTTCTTCACCTAATGTTTGGAATGCATGGACTATGTCACATTCTGGGTCAAGGCCCAAATACTGCTTGATCCATCTGCTCTTTGAGATGCCTGCAAATTTACCACCCCAATCGAAACCACTGAATGCATGTAGACCAAGCAAACCTTTGCTTTTTTCGCTACCAACTGCAGAACATCTCTCAGCAATGTCAATTGTACGTTTCGCATTTCCCTTTCCAGTGATGAAGCAAAGGCGACCTAAGACATTGTGTGTAGAACAAAGATCCATCAGATATACAAAGACGTCAGTGTCTGGAGAATAAACATCAATATCTATGATGTTCTCTGCTGCTTTTGAGGTAGCATCCAGTACATGCAATGGGATGAGTGTATCCGCTTCCTCATGACTGTGTGTGATGGGTGAGTTCTGGATCAAACATATCTGGCTTGTTGGAATATGTAGCATTTCCGTAGACGACAACAACGTTCTTGCTACTATTTGTATACTCATGCAGAACAGCCTTTCCAAGATATTCTGTCAGTTGCGACTTGGTGTAGTTGTGAGACAGAAGAGTCTTCAGTGAAACGAGCTTGATGTTGGTATTGTCCTTGATATCAAACTTCACTGGTTCAATACCTGCAGTCCTTTTCCCTCTAGTCTGTGCCTTGAGGGAATCATCAATGTATCTATCAAAGATAACACGTGCTTCATCGTACTGGGATGCAATTTTCCTTATGCTCCTAACAAAAGCAGCAGCAAAGTCGGAGCAGTCAACCATTGATGGGGACTTCTTTATGGCCTGGACAACTGCCATGGCATCGATGATGCACAGTTTGTCTGTTTTCTTGTCTTCTCCTGATGTCTCTATGTTGGGTGAATCTTGCTGCTCATTGATCTGGTCTTCAGACTGACTATTCGGTTCAGTTCCATAGGTTTCTATGGCATGGATGAAAGAGCTTTTGTCTGATGGGATAAGGAGAAGGCCATCTGAGGTAAATAGCGACCTAGGAATGACAGAAAATTCATATTTTCCAATTGTGTCACCCAGTGAATGTATCATTCCAGGTCTGGACTGCTGAACAACGAGAAATCTTGCAAGAAGTTGGCGATCCTCTCTTAGCTTGACGAGCTTGGCTCCAATCTTACACTGTGTCTTCTTTCTGCAAGAGCTGAATGTCTTCAGTTTGGCCTTCCTCATTGGGTCCCAGATAGATTTCTTGGCCGATGACTCAACTGTTCTGTCAGATACAAATTCTTGGAACATGATCTTTCCCTTTACATCTCTTTCAAGAATGTCCTCCTTGAAAGCTTCAGGAACTTGCATGTTAGATACCATATTCATCAGCTTCATTGACCTGATTTCAAATGGATTGCCCTCGCAGTGTCGTATGATTGCTTTCTTGATTGTTGAGGAATTTCTGTGCATGCGAAGAGCCACAGAACCACTGAGCTGATAGTGCTCCTTCGTAGTTTGAGAGTCATTGGTGGTACAACAGTAAGCATCTTGGAAGTCTTGAATGAGGATGACCAATTCAGGGGCAATCAGGAAAAACCTACCCAGTGCTTCTTCATTTTGTGTTATTCCAGTGATGCCGCCAGCTACTTTCACTTCCCTGATCAGCTGTTCCAATGTTTGGTCAACAAATAGGTTCGTGAATGGGATGCCAGATTTAGTGACCATGAAGTCCCCTGCCTTTAGTGCATCCCAAGTAGTAGGATCAGATGTCTTCAGCGAATGCATTTGAAGAAGGTAGATTGGCACGAGCCTAGCATACTTGTATAAGTCATGTGCAAAGTAGTACTTGACCTGCTCTTCCATGGAAGCGAGATGCAGCTCCCAGTTCCCCTGTCTGCTAGCTAGCTCGAATCACATGCAGTAAACTCTCAACTTGCTTCATGTAGTTGGGTAAGAATGTTGCCATCTCGTCATTCTCTTGGATGATTGTGGTTTGATAATGCTCTTTAATCATCGAAGTTACCTCCTCAAAAACCTGTTTAATGTCACTATCTCTCTCGTGTAACTTTTTACGAAGCTCTTCGCATTTCTTAATCATGCTGTCCAAGTGCTCATGATGTACTGATGCTTCAAACAGGAGATCATAGCACGCCATGATGTTGGTCATGTGGAATTCAATACCACGTTTGAACCACTTTCCAGTGAATATTTGGCGGATCGTTGAAGGGGAACAGAGGCCTGCTTCAATGCTAATAGATTCCAAGCCACTGTCCTTGAGATATTTTGCAATTGCATGCAGTGATGCGAAGCAGGCATGGAGTTCACCAATTCGAAGAATCCAGTTCTTGTTCCCTGTGGAAGATTGAAGTTTGGTTGCTCTCTCATACAAATCAAGATCAAGGGTGATGACTGTTTTCTTATGAGGACCAACCACAGCAGCTGATATCCCTTGAGCAAGACTTAAGATTGTAAAGAGAGATGAATAGTCAGTGGGAGGTCGGCGTAACAGAGGAGCAATAATCGCACTCTTTGTCAAGGATTCATTTCCTTTCTGCTGTGCCTGAACGAGTAAGGAATTGGTGGCTGCCCAGGTTGGCACTACTGTCTTCTTCAGTGCTTTGGCTGATGAGTGTACACCAGGTCCTTCAGAAGTTTTAGTGCTTCCTTCACTTTGTTCAATTCCATGGACTCTGGAATTCCCACCTGAATTGTCTAGACTAGGAGTTGTCATTGCCATAGGCTGTTCAATATCCGAAACAAGGTAATGTTCAAAAGTTGCACCTGAAGTAATCGACTCCAAAGATTGCTCGTCCTCAGGTTGTGTATCACTGTTCTGATCAGAATGGACGTGGAGGCTAGTCTCATCATCACTTGATTGTTCTGTAAGCGGTGATTGACTATCAAGAGGCTCAGTCAGTTGAGAAATATCAATGTGTAGAGATTCATTTGCAGCTACAGGGTGTGTTGCACTTGAAGTTGTATTTGACCTTGTAGAAAAGGATGCCATGAACCACGCCTTGTCATACATGTCATTTTCGCTGATGGCATGCTGAAAGGAGCCAAACTCAAATGAACTGGCAGTGATTGTTTTGACTTCAAGAGATGGTGGATGCTGTAGTTTGATGTCTACATCAATGGGTTTGACATCGTCTGGAATCCGGAGTGGTTCACTGACCGGGAGACCTGTGGTTGAGTCACTATCCCCACCCTGGTTCTGATTGATTACCAGAATGGTACCATGGAGAGTGTTCTGACCGTTTTAATACGTCCAGTCCAAGGCATTTATTTTTCTAGTTTTTCTTTAACACCACATTCAGTAACTGTTATATGTTATAATTAAGCCCCCCCCCCCGGGTGGAAGAAGGGGGGGGGGGGGGTGATGCGTTTAGGCATATATACGATGATCAAGATGACAGCCGGTATTCTATGTACCAGGTCCTGCAAGCTTTAAATACAGATGATCTCTCAAAATGGATGATTCTAAGGTACTTTCAAATGAATTAATATAGCAAATGTTATTCCATGGCGGCCATTTTGAATTTCAAAATGGTGGCCAATTCGAATGGTCAGTTACTGGGAGCTTGTGTTTTGTTTGAAAACACACATAGCATCAATATTATGATACTGTTACGGTACAAACCTTTCCAGGTGCTTATAACTTGAGACATGAGATAAAATAGGATTAGCAATGGCGGCCATTTTGAATTTCAAGATGGCGGCCAATCGAAATAAAGCAAAATTTTATAAAAATGTGTATTGATATATCAGA